ACACAACGTTCACACACGCTGAAGCACCATTGACAGCGGCAATTGACCTTGAAGAATGAAACCGTAAATACAGGACAGAGGATCCAACCGCAGATGCAGTGACTTCAAGAATACTCCCTAACCAATCAAATTCAAAGAGAGAAATATATAGTATGTAAACCAGATGTAGAAAAAATAATGTGCTGAAAACAAAGAAGATGGTAAAGGATGTAGGGAAATAATGGGACAGTAGGCAGTTTTAAACATCTGGCAAGCCGGTAAAAGAAGTGAATGGGGTGCAGTTAATTAAAAAGGAAACTAATAAGAGAAAGAGTTGATTGTGTTTAATGGTGGAGGGAGAAAACGGGGAGCAAAGCCATTAAAAACATACATAAAAACACAGAAACAATTTTATTTCAGCTAATAAACTTTTAAATAATGAGTGCTCGAACCATGGAGTGGTTTCTGTGCCTCCAGTGAGTAGTTCCCCCACCCCCCCGTTCTGCCCCAAGGGGGAATACACCTTGGGCTGGATAACAAAAGCAGTGCTGTGTCCCTGGGCCTCTGAGTCTCAATGCTGCTTTTAACCTAGCTTGACCTAGCTGGGTCAGGTCATACTGAGTCACCTGGTCCTGGTACTGCTAACACAGACCTACATATCCATAACTGATGTTCTCTCTCGCCAGACTAATAAAATCAGATTTGGTATTAAAACAATGCCTGTTTCTATTCCCTTCTTTCCCTACCAACTCACTTCATACAGAGCCCACTCTTCCAGCCTTTTCTTCTTGAAGTTCTATTGGTTTGACAATTTAAAAAAAACATTTTGACTGTAGATACAGTATAGGGCAGACATGTATATAAACTATAAGTAGAGACAAATAACCAGTTTTTCCTCACAACTTTTCCTGTTTTAGGTCAGTTAGGATTAGTAAAAGTATTTTACATTATTTATATAAATAAATTATTTTCTATTTTCACAAAACAAAGTTACTAAATGCCAGAACAGTGAAAGATGGGCACTCTAAAACACTGACTGTTTTGTCCTTTAACCACTTTTAGCTAAAATGGTGTTATGCTTAGAGATATTGTCCATTTGGAAACCCGTTTGTCCCCAAGTTTTAACTTCCTGGTTGACGTCTTGAGATGTCACTTCAATATTTTCACATAAAGTTCTTCGCTTGTGTTGCTATGTATTTTGTAAAGTGCACCAGTTCCTCCTGCCTCAAACACCATACAGCAGGGGTCCCCTAACCCCGGACTACGGTCCAAATCCGGACCCAGAGAGCGTTTTGTCCGGACTGCAAAGCATTTTACCTGAACAGTATGATATCTAGAAATTCCTATTGTGTTTATACTTGCATATATTTATGTGGGACATCGGGCATCTGGTTATTGTACCCAAGGAGGAACCAGACCTGTGGAGGTCTTAAATTCTCTTCCTGTTATTTTGAATTATTTCTTTCGATTTGCATCCAGATTAGAAGTCTACAACGCCATGACCTCATCATCATTATCATCTGGGCTTTCCCAAATTGTTTAATGCCATGCTAGTTTTTTAAGATAGAAACTTCTGAGTTAAAGAAATAATTTTAAAAAATCTCAAAAAATTCCCCATCTTAACTCAGAAATAGAAATAATTTTGACGTAAAGCAGGAAGAGTGTAGTTTAACTTAATATCAGACAGTGAGCAAAAAAGGGATTTGTCTTTTTATACAATGTTTTTAAACTCTGTGGGCAAGTTTAGCTGAGTAGATATTTTCTTGTAGCAAGAAGATCAAGAAATATTTGACTTACTTCAGTGACATGTTCTCTTGTGTTTCCCATTCCTAAGAGTGGCTATAAAAATGGACACCTCTGTCGCATCCACTCCACTGATACAGGAAGTCATTCATTGCTATTCACCTCAATAACATAAAACATTAATAAGAAATAATAAAATTAAAATTTGTAGGTACTCAGCTGCAAATAATTGTGGGAATGCAAGTTTTATTTAAAATTTGTAAACGTGGGACTTTTTTCCTCCCCTGAATGTAGTCAAATAAACAGTTTGACTTCTGTTGGAGATTATACAACTGCAATTAAATATTAATTTGTTTTAAAAGCTTTAAATCTTTAACGGGGTGCCAGTACATGTGAAGAAGGCTTTATAATCTTCATAGCTTAATTTTACAAAACATCAATGCAACATAACTCAAACACACATACCAGCATCAATTCTTAGTGCTTTAGTTTAGGTTATTTTGTCAAAACTTGGTCAAATTCAAATCCAATCTATTATGATCATCTGTTTTAATCTTGCAACATCACCTGGATTTAGTTAGTTCTCCTAGTTGTATTAGTGACTAACTTTCATGCTTGTTCCAACTCAAATATGCTTGGGATTGCAGTTATAAACACACACAAAAACAGAAAGAAAGAGTGGTGTCTACTTTAAGATGGCTCATTTCTGGGTGTACACTCCACTTTTTCAGCAGTCTGCTTCAACACACTAAAATCCTTACTCTTTCTTTCCTTTCTGTCTTCCTTTGCCAGGATTAACAAGCTTAACAAAACACTACAGTTCCCTGCAAAACGTCTCATAACCAGAGTCTTTTACGTTTTCCTACCAAGGAGTCAGAACTTTTAAAAGGTTCTCGACTAACATTTTCATAGACTTTTTGAAGGTCTGTCCTGTTCTTTCTTTGTTTTCTGGCTGCTTTTACAATAACTTTCCAGATATTTTTATTTGGTTAAGTTGTTTAATTCTAATATATAAATCAGTCAGACATTAAGAATGAACAGGTTTTAAATCAGATTTTCTTACAGCCTGTAACAAAGTCAAAATGTGGTCCCATTTCTTTTCTTTGTGAAAAATACCAAAGATAACAATGTGGCTCAAAAAATAGCATTTTAGGTGATTCCTAGAGAGCTAGTAGCTGAAAACACCAGCCTCAAGTTGTTTGATGTACAGATAAATCTCAATAAATTAGAGTGTCATCAAAAGGTTAGTCTGTTTGAGTATCAAATCAACAAAAAGCCAAACTGAACTCAATTTCATGTAAATGTGACATGAAGCTGCTAAATCTCTATAAAGTTTAGGTCATGATACTGGTTTAACAGGTAAACAAACACCTATTTAGTGTTTTAAGGACGTGTTTTAATTAGAGCTTGAACATGAGTATATTTTGATCAGATCATCAGAGTTTAAACTTAGCAATCGCAAAGAACACAGAGTAAAATTGTTGTGCATGTACTTCAGGTATGATGCTTTGTAGTCACACAACACTTCGGATCCAAGTTGATCTCTAATTTAGCAAAATTACAAAAACAACAGCTGTGAAATTTGAGGAGGAACGACGTAATTATGAAAAATGGAACTGCCATCAGTGTGTCTTCGTCGGTAATCATTTGTGAAAATAATAGTGAAATCTAACCTAACAAAACCGCACCTGACTGTTTTACAGTTTTGTTCATTTCATATATAGAGAACAAGAAAATGTCTCTTAAAACTAAATCAAACAAAGGGGAAATTGGAGTGTCTTGAAGAAAAAGTATTTGAAATCTTTAAAGATTGTGAAATTTTCCATTAAACTGAAAGCTGTAAGCCTTGTTTCTGACAAATTATGGTGCCAATGAAAAATAACCATTTTACAGACTCCACAGACACAGAGGCCCAAAAACCATAAGCTTTTAAAGACTTTCATTCTGGTTTTTACATGAACATTAAGAGCTGGGTTTCAAATGAAAGTTTTTTTTTATAGTTTCATATATTTTATAGACTTTAACAAGCTAGTTGTATAACTCATCTGAGAATCAATTTATCTCATTGTGGGAAACAGTTTTCTGGTCTAGTTCTGGGTATTTGTGTGTCGCTCACAGTGAAAAACCTTGCCATCAACTCTTTATTGCCTTTTCTTGTTCACAGAGGAAAAAAAATACTGTGGAAAGTGTGGAAGAGCTTTTCAGTGAAAAAGATGATAGGAGAATTAAAGTTAATCCTCAGTTTATAGGTTTGTGAAAATAGATTTAATTGAACGTTTCCGTGTCATGCAGAGTCCATTTGTCCATGAAGAAAAGCCTCAGATCACACAGAACTACTGTGAACTGGTTAACAAATATTGACATGATGTAAAAGTGAACTGACTAGCTTTTAACTTAAACTTTAATTTGTCAGACCTTAGTGCAATTAATCACTATGATTTTTACTTTGTGTTTACTCTTATTTGTAGGTTTTGGTATGTTTACTATTTAGTCTTGCTCTATTCTGCTCTATATTCCATGTTGTTTAGTCTTCGTTTTTGAGCTTTACATTTAGTAGATCCTGTTTGTACTTTTATTTATCCCTGTTCCTTGTATTCATTAAGTTTAATTTCTCAGTCAGAGCTTCTCAGTTTTACGTAAAACTCCTTACCTTCCCCCAAAAGTTGCAGCCTGTTGTCATCACCCACCTGATTCTCATCCAGGTATCTCAGCCACAGCTTAATGCCTCGCAGTTTCTGAGTGCCTTGCCAGTTACATCCATTTCTGCTTTCTGCTATGCTCCTTACTCTTTCTGTTGTAACCCCCAGAGTTTGAGTAGTTTTTTTTTCCTATATATTCACCCAGTTGGACAGATCAATAATACATTTTGTGGTATTTTTATGCAGATGGCATTCAGCTCTACTGCTCCTTCAGAAATGCTTCTAATTGTCTGAATTTACTTGACTGGTTACCTGTTCATTTTAGAAATGATTTTAAAATCCTGACTTTAACTTTCAGAGTCATGGATGGTCAAGCTCCGTTGTATATTACTCAAATGTTAAAGCCACATACTACTCAAACGTAAATCTACTCCCAAGTCCCAAAGCTGCTAAAATATTCGTATTCAAACAAGCTTTTCCTCAAACTTTTTTTTTTTTCATATTATTGCATTTCTTCTATCTATTTCATTTAATTAGTATTTTGTTATTTTTTAAGATTTTTTTGGCACCAGTTGCCTTTATTGACCAGTAGTTAGACAGGAAAGAGGTGAGAGAGAGAAGGGGAAGACATGCAGCAAATGGCCAAGGACCGGGAATCAAACCCAGGACAACAGCGTTGAGGACTATAGCCTCTGCACATGGTGGACCTGCTCTACCAACTGAGCCACACAGTGCTCCATTTGTTTCTATTTTTAATCATGTTTTCTTTTACTCATGGTTTCATATTTTATGCACTCTTGTGAAGCACTTTGTGGTTTTTATCTGTAAAAGGTGCTATAAGGCAGGCAGGCAGGCAGGCAGGCAGGCAGGCAGGCAGGCAGGCAGGCAGGCAGGCAGGCAGGCAGGCAGGCAGGCAGGCAGGCAGGCAGGCAGGCAGGCAGGCAGGCAGGCAGGCAGGCAGGCAGGCAGTTAATGTTTCTGTAAAAGTGAGACTTCTTGTTTTTACACAAGTTTTATTGTTCTAGTTTTATATTCCACCTGGCTGCTGTGCCATTTGGAGGTCAAGCAAACATACAGTAAACAGTATTGTAACTGGAAATAATTTATGCACTTCTAACATATGTACATGAGCATAAGTATTGATTTTAAAAGCTTTATGTTTATAAAAAATATTTTAAATGTTATTTTAGTTTATTAATTTATTTTGAAAATGATTAGAAAATAAAAGAGTAAAAGAAACAGAAAAATAAATCAACATATAATTAACAGAGATTTTACACTATTCACAGCATAATAGCTCAATGTTATGCTTGAAATGGGGTAGGAAGAAGTATAAACTTACTGAATCCTACCCCAGTACCTCAAAATCAAAACTATCCTTTCGCATCATGCTGATGCATCTGTCGGTAGCTATTAGGCATTATACTTGTGTTTAAATATTCAGCACTGTCTTTAACTTATGGCAAAATAGGTTCATTATAAAGTTACATTATACATACATTAATTTTAAAAGGGTAATTTCTCCCCATGGTCTATTTTTTTCACAATGCCACTTTTCAACTGAATGGCTTGGCCTGTCAATCAGGGGAAACAGGGCGTCACTGTTTTGGAGGCGGAATCTTCCAATTCCCGGCCAGCATTGAATATGTCCAATGCTTCTTCCTGTGAGCATTGGTTCACTATGGGGAATTCCCCTTCTGGCGGGGAGAAAATGGCTGCGCGCGAAGGGATAAACCCACTAGCGATAGCTTACAAGGTGAAGACTATTCAAAATAGAACTAATCGCTATGTAAAGATCAGCCAATGAGGATGCAAGTCCAGCCCGTTGACGCTGATTGGTCGACAGTCATTCAGTTGAAAATTGGCATTATGAAATAAATAAGCCATGGGGAGAAATGACTCTTTTAAAATAAAAGCTGGCTTTTTGAAATGAAAACTGACTTTAAAAAAAATGACATTTTGAAATAAAAAAACTGCTGGAATTACATAAAAATAGCCTCAACAATAATTTCAATTATTGGGTAAAAATGTAATATAAAAATATTTTATATTACAAAGCTGATTTTAAAAGGAAAATGAGATATATTTCATAATAATGAGCTGAGAATTTAATATACATTCAATTATTTCACAATTTTATTGTCACATTATATGTTTATCTATTAGTTATTGATGTAGATACTTATTTAATAATGTTTCATTTATTTATTTAATTTTGAGCACTTTGGCGTTCCATAGTCCACACTCTGCAGTAGTATTACTAACAAAAAAAAGTTGATTATTTCTTTTTCTCAGAATCCTTGTATTGTTCTGGGAAATTAAATCTACATTCCTGTTGAAAAGGGTAACCATTCTACTTTTTGTCCTTTGAAGAAGTGAAGAGTTCATTCTTTTATTGTTGCAACATTGCTACTCTTAGTTTTTTGTTTGCCCTTGAAAGAACAGCTTTGAAGAGACTTTCTTTATTATTTGTTTTAAATACATCACTGTGCCTACGCTGTCCAGAAACCCAACAACTACTTCATATTTCAAAAACATTTGCTGCAGTCCTTTTATCACTTTGCTCTGTTTAGTTGCATTAAACCAACATGTGTTTAACTGTGTGTGAGGTAAACGGTTTTGGCAAGGCTTAGGGGAAATCTGAAAACATCTGAACTTTAGGAAGGATTTAGCTGAAAACATGTTTCATACATTGGTAAAGGCTAAAATGGAAAATTTAGGAGGCAGTTTATATAATTGAGGCACAAGGGAGTGACAAAGAGGTTAAATTTAGAAGATCTTCAGCTTGTATTAATCACAGCAAACATAGAATGCAGATCAGATCAGTATTTGTTTAAAATATATATACTGTATACATACTGTGTGATGTTGAGGAATAGTCTGTGTTGGAATGAAAGCACTGATATATTGTATTTAATTTATAGTACCTTGTTTACTCCTTAAAGAAAAAAGAAATACAGCATCTTCCAGTTTTCAACTTGGTCCGCCCAGACCAATGACCAGTTTGTCGGAAAGTAAAAAAAATATATATGTTTTTTTCTCAATCAGTAAATGCAACAAACTAGCCAGGTTGTGGAACACAGCTGTTTATAAGGAAACTGTATGTTCTGCAGAATTAGCGTGTCAAGGCATGTCTGTGCTTTAGTGTTGTGAACATGGTAACTATGTCAACATATTTAAAAAATATGCAGATCCTCCTAGAGACTATAAAAAAACCAAACTTTTCACAGGTGCCCAGTCCTCCCACACCACACCCTCCCAGCTGCAGTCAGATAAGATGTGTACCCTTTCACATCCACACTGCAAATGAATCACACATGTGCAAAGCTCCTACCAGCTGTGTTGTTGTTGTTGTAGACTCCTGATTGGAGCAGGTTAAAAACCACACCAGACTTAACACTTTTACATGATAATTATGTAAAAAAAAAAACTAAAAAATGTAACTCACTTATACAATTTAGATAATAACATCATTTAGCAACTTGTAATGACTTTTAGGACAGCCAATAGCAACTTTCCTTACTTAACATTTCGCAAAACTGCTATGGTTCATTCAAGGTGTGAGAGAATAAAAGAGAACAAGACTTTCAGAAGATAACAGGAAGGCAGAACTGACTACAGCAAAGTTGTACTGTTTTATCCTTTTGAGATTTTAATGTCTGTCATGGAGCATGCCAAATTTGGAAATGTTGGCAGCCTTTTGCAAATCTCAAAGTTAAGGTAAGGATCTACGTTCTCTAGAATTCACACATGGAGACTGCATTTTTTGTAATGCAAGCTGCACCAAAAGTATTACCTGCACTGATGTATGTGCTACTAAAGTGTATTTCAAACATGAATTCCGCAATCATTTTGTCTTTGTTTTAAAGTATCAGTAAAATCCTGTTTTCCCCTCTCGCAGATATAACATGACCTCACCTCTGCGCCTTCTATAAATAAATATTGACCACTCACAGCAGGAAGGCAAGAAAAAATATTTTGAATGTTGTTAAATCTTATATATGGATTAAAAAAATGGTATTGGCAAAAATCAGAGGTTGGAAATCAGCCATGTAGTAATGATCAGTGCATCTCTAACATAAATCTGGTCGAAAACTCTGGTTATAAACTCACTTTGAGGTTTTGGAATGAATACAACTACATCAGCAAGAGTGCTTGTTTTTTGCCTAAAACATAGTGTTAGTCCCTCAACGCCATCTAAAAATAATAATTTTGTCCTCCTAGCTAATAAATTATCTTGCATAGTGAATGAATCTGTTGGAAAATATACATTTGCAGGATTCTCTTATACCTTGTGCTCATATGACAGTCAAATTTGGTTTGCTGCTATGTCATTTTTCTGTCTTTTCATAAAACCTTTCTCCTTTTTGACTGGGAATGATCTAGCAAACAGTCTGCATTTTATACACTCAGCCTCTTTTGTTTTGCTGAATAAAGATCTGCTGAAAAGCCAATGTGGGATTATGTGCTTTGTGATGGGGAATAAAAGAATGTATGTGGTTTTGTAGGACATGAAGTACTAGTAAGTATCTATCAAGAAAGAGTGGAACAACAAAAAGAGCAAACAAAATTCAGTCTGGTGGAAAAAAAAAAACACAAGTGGAAAAAATTGTTTTGTTGGTAAAAACTCCATTAAGCTAAAATCCAAAGTCGAATCTTATTCTTAGAGAACGCAGTTGAGGATGAGCTGTGCTGAACACCCGGGGGAGAAAGTGTAAGTACGAACACACAAACACTATTGCTGAGAAAAGAAAAACCCAGGCACCACCACCCACAAACAACATAATTAGATTTTCCAACAAATGACCATACTATATATTTCATGTCAAACTGACATGCAAAAAATGTCTTTTGAGTAGCGCAAATACAACTTGGCGATAAACAATCGGTTCCTGACAGCTTTTATGCAGCCAGAAAATGTCTCTGGCTGCAGTGTACACATACTTTTAATTTATGAATGCAATTATGTTGATAGCTCAGTCAAGAGTGTACACACAGAGGTATATATTAGGAAAAGAAACATTTGATACGTTTTCTGAGCATTATCCCTCAAAGACATGTTTAGGAATTATAATCAGGCATCCATCTTATTGAAATAATTTCCAGCTGACATGATCTAATTTTATATGCCGAGGTTTTAGGGGATTAAGAGAAATGTAAGGAGGACCAGGCTAATGATTGAAATTGAAGCCAACATTTTGGGAAGAAATACTTTTTCACTTTAGCTGAAGGAGGTAGCTTGTGTCAAAATGAATGCTTTCAGTAAAGCAGAAGGTTGTTTTTGCTTATTTTCCATTTTGACAATTAACATTTTGAGAACTTGTTTGAACTGCAAGTCCTTAAACATTTCAGACGGATGATATTAGCATTAGTAAAAGTAGATTTTAGTCAGTGGGCTTCATCTGAGTGTGTAAATGCATCACCTGTGAGTCATAAATCACATTTAGAAACCTAATGAACGATTTAAGGTCAACAGATGATGTCTATGAACAGAAGAAAACCTCACAAATGACACCACTGCTCATCCAAAGGACTTCAGCCTCAACACAGCGCCTGCCGAGACCCTACTAAGACCCACACTCACAATCTGAAGTAAACTCAGATGACATGAAAACAAAGGGTTTTGGGTTTAAAACAGATATTATTTAATACCTTATAACTCAACAGTTTGCTTATGAATCCAGAATGTTGATATCCAAAATGATGCAGGGAGGTCAATATGGACCCATACAAGAA